CAGGAGCCATCTATCAATTCATGGCACACCCTGTGAGAATTCTGACATCCCTTTCACAGATCCAGAATATATAATTTGAAAATGTCACAGAAGCACAAACCCTGGGTTGGTCAAGGCCATCCTGAGAAAGGACAAAGCTGGAGGCACCCCCTTATTCTCAAATCCAAAGCTAACATCATTGGGAAGGCGGGAAGGGTCACCTGTCACCGGCCAAGCCCTCCTGCTGTGCCACCTCTGAGTCTCTCACCATTCTGTGCCACCCCGTGGTCTCGGCCTTTGGTGACCTCAAAGCCCACTTCTGACACAGGACCCTGTAAGTTTTGCAAAGCGGTGCCATGGGAGGGTCTGGCCTCAACCTAGGATGAATGAAGCATCGGAAACGGGCCACTGGAGACCTGCCCACAGGAAAGAGCACAGTGGCGACTGGATGCTGGGAGGGCCCCGCACATCAACCACTCGCCGAGATTTACTGCAGCTGCCTGCCACTGAGCAGCCCACGGGAGCAAGGGGCACCATCCCGAGGATCAGGTCACATGGTCACTGAGGGCAAAGGGAGCAGCAGAAGGGTGAAATAGCTGAGCGCTGCAGGCACTGTGTCTGTCTGTCTGTCTGTCTGGGTGTCAGAGAAGTCAGAGTTTTGAAAGTCAAGAGTTTTCAGAGGAATCAAGCAGTCCATGCACTGGCACATCTTAGTGCCCCGCACATGTCATGCTCAGAGCGCTCTTGGGGTGCCATGCTCTGTGGGTTTAGATGAACCCACTTGGCCTTAGTCAACATCCTAATATTACAGGAGCGGCCCATAATATTACGATTCTCTCTGCTCCCAGTTTCTCTCCCCCTTCCCCACCTACTCCAGCCTTTTTATTGTCTTGGTAATTTTGCTGTTGCAGGATGTAGCCCAGTGGGAACGAGCTGGACACATGACCTTCCCTGCCTCTGAGCCTCCCTAGATCCTCTGCTCCCACTGCTGACAGCTTGTCCCCTCCCACGCTAAGCCGCCCCACAGTCTGCCTGGCCTCAGGCCTGTCCTCTGGGACCCCAGCCTTTGCATGCAGGCTTGTCTCCATGGAGAAGCCTCTGCCTCCCCTGCCTGCTGCAACAGGGTTCTCCAGCCCAGACATGAAGACACCCTCCTCGCGTGGGTTCAGAGTCCTGTTGCCAGTTCTTTGTTTTCCCATGTACATCATTCTTTAGTTTGCATTTTAACTCATATGAAATCACTAGTTTTGCACTCAGATAACTTTTCATTTCACGAGGGTTAAAACATTCCAGTAACGGTCTCCACTAAATAAATCCTTTCTTAAATTAAATGAGCACATATAACACTTGCAGAATTATTTTACAAGAGAACCCAAGATTTTACAAATTCATTAATATTCAGCTGTGGCCTTATTCACAGTGCACATGTGCTCACTCCAAGGAGAGGTTCAGAGGTCATGGGGCTCAGGTGTTGCTGGGGTTCTGGGGTCACTGGAGTCCATGGGTCACTGGGGTTCAGGGGTCATTGGGGTGCATAGGTCACTGGGGTTGTGATGTCACTGGGCTCTGGGGTCACTGGGGTCACAGGTGCCACTGCGGCTCTGGGGTCACGGGGGTGCAGAAGTCACTGGGGTTCAGAAGTTGGGGCTGCAGGGGTCATTGCAGCTCAGGGGTCACTGGGGTTCAGGAGCCACCTTGACAAGGTCTTTTCTTAACATCTGCCATCCTTTGGTGACCACGCAGGACACGGGGCCGATGGTCATGCCACCACCCTCAGGGCCTGTCCCCACCCAGGCAAACAAATATCTCCACTGTCTGGAGAGCTCCCGGGCATGTCCCAAGGCAGGAACCACAAATAAGCCACTTCCAGATGCACGTGGGCCCTGCTGTGACACCAACCCATCAACAGCCCAGCGACGACAACCCCGGGCACACTCGGGATGCGCTGACAGGGGAGACACACCCGCCAGCACAACTCAGCTCAGGTGCGGGTAGGGCTGAGGCTGCGGCACAGGGGTGAGCACAAGGGTTTCTACAATGACAGGAACATTCCTGGTCCCGAGGCGCCGGCTCCATCTTGCTGTCCTCAGCTTCTACAGCACTTTCTGTCTCTCCCCAGTGTTCCTCCTCGTGCTCCTTCCTTCCTGTGTGTCTATCCCTCCTCCTGCCACCCCCTTCCCTGCACCTGCCAGGCCCCAGGAGGGTGCACGGGGGTGACGGTGACTTTCCAGCTCCCTGTGGACGGGGCTCATCTGTGGCTCTGAGAGGGCTACACCCGGGTCCCCTTGGCGGTCAGAGGACGCTGATGGGGCCTGATGGGGGGACCAGGTCCTGCTCATGGAGTCCCCTAGGACCCCTTGATGGTGCTGCTGACTCAGGAGTCTCATTACTGGGGACGCTGCTGAGAAGTCCACGGAGGCAAGGGACACCCGGGCCCCTCGGGTAAGGCTCCTGAGGAAGGGGAGCCAGGGACGGTGTCAGGGCTGGGGGTCAGCGGGGGATGGAGATAGTGAGCCCTGCAGCTCGTCTGCGGAGTCAGTGACCTGGAGGCCTGGATCCCGGACGTCAGAGGCCAGCACAGCAGAGGGCAGCAGGTGACCGGGCCGTCGAGAGAGGTTTGCTTTTCTCCTGTCTCTGTGAAGGGGAGAGTTTTGTGGGAAGCAACTTCTGGGCCCGCAGGTGCCTCACACCAGACTGGACGTGTCGGTCAAATAAGTTGGAGAAGTTCCCCCTTATAATTAATGTTTTATATTCACTTTATATCTATATCTATATTTATAGATATATGTTTCATTTAACTGCATTTCAAAGTGTTAGCATTTCAATACGAACAACTGACCTTATTTTTTTGTCCTGCCAAAGGTAACATTATTTTTTCTCTTTTGAGGTAACATGTGTTACAACATAGTATCATTTCAAAATGCTTTTTTGCATTTCAAAAGAGCAGTAGTTAAAATACTCATCTTATAAATGAAAGCTAAAATTTATAACTGCACAGTTCAATTTCACGTTGCCATATTTTCTGGGATGAATTTCAAAGAGGGAAAATAGGGCCTCTCCAGTGGCACAGTGGTTGAGCGCTGGGTTGCGAAGCTGCCCGCAGCCTCTGCAGCGCCGGTTCGATCCCCGGCTGCTCCCTGGACACCGAGGAGGGTCCTGCATGGCACGCAGATCTCTCCTGCCGCCCGCTGCTCCCCTCAGCAGTGTACTTCGGTCCTTCTGCCTGCTCTGCTCCCCGCTCTGGCTCTGGTGAATTCTCTCACCCTCCCGCGCTTCTGACTGTACCCAGTGCTTGTATAAATAAATAACTCTTCTTAAAAAAAAAAAAGAGGGAAAATATATATATATTTTTTTTTTACTTTTCTTCAATTTAAGGAGTTCTGCAGCTTATGGTTTTTAATAAATTTGTGGTCAAAGAATATTTTAATTATGGTATATCTGACAATTACTGTTCAGAGCCATGATATTTTAGCATTGAGAACATTGAGATGAAAGTGCATTACATGTTCAATAACTCACATGTAAGAGAGCTATTTAGGAAGCAGTGAGGAAGAATCTTAAGAGGAAGTTAAAATTCACACTAGTTTAAAAGGGAAAACTACACATGCTCATCTCCAAAATGTAACACAATCGTGAGTCAGATAGAAATTCATAAACTTTTGAGGTGATAGATATTGATCTTTTTTTCCCTTCACACTGAAGTGATAGACACGTGTAGAAATCAGTCTGTTTTGGATGAGAATATTTCATCTGACTCCACACAGCAACGCAGCTATAAAAAATACTACTTTATCAATATATTATTTTAAGTCACTGAAAAGATTTTGACACAGGGCACAAAACAGCAGGTTCTGAATTTATTTTCTTGTTTCCATTACAATAGCAAAAAATGTTCCTCTAGTCTCGTACAATAATTATATAGAACCACATTCTCCTAAAAATCCTGCCTCACCAGGGCCAGTCCCTCCGTCACCCTACAGAGGAAGGAGAGGATGATATTGGGGAGAGGATGAGAGTGGGCAGGGCTGCCCCGTGTCCAGGCGTCCCCACTCACACACGGGTCTGGGGTGAGGAACAAACCTGCACCCAGGGGACCCGGGTCCCTGGGACTGGCAGGGACAGCCACACGCACGGACCATCTGGCTCAGCCCCGGAGCGGCCTCCTCCCTGGACAGATGTGCTTGAGTCTGAGGGGGACAAAGGGGCAGGGGAGAGACCCGGGGGTGGAAGAGCCCATCCTGCAGGAGGGACGTGTGGGTGTGACCCAAGAGGAGACTCTGCGGTAAACGTGGTCTCTGAGTCCTCAGATGTGGGCTGTCAGGGGCAGGGAGATGAGGAGACCAGGGGATGGACCAGGAGTCAGCAGTGAGGCCACAGGGGCAGGAATCTGACAGAGGAGGCATCAGGACATGCCACACAGGGACACTGAGTGCTCATCAATCAACCCCATGTCAAGAGTCCAGTCCTTGGAGCCAGGAAAACAGGGACCCGCACACCCCATCTCCCAGTATGCATTTATCGCTGTGGGGCCTCCCCAGACCAGGGCTGTGCTGGAGGATCAGGGACAGGCTCTCTAGGGTGGGGAGGGGGCTGGGCATGGTTATGGTTCCTCTGGAACTGCACACTGGACAACCTCTGCGAGGTGTGCTGGGCTGAGATGCTGGGGCCAGGGCGGGAGGCGGGAGCAGTGGGACTGGGATGGGGAGTGTAGTATTGGAACTCTGTGGAGATTTTTGACAGATAAGAGATACTAATTTGTTCAAATTTTGTAGGGACAGTTGAAATTTTCAGTTTTTACCAATTTTCAGGATTATGTGGAGAATGTAATAATGACATATTCCATGAGGTGGTAATAAGTGCATTGAATAAAACAGCATACATAGATGATATTAGTGTCTATAGAACTAGAAGAAATAATTATGTAGAAAATACATTCAATTATTATCTTGTATTGATAACACATTATATTTTCAATATTAGAAGAATTAACATTTTGTTGCTCTTCCTCTTTTACACAGATAATGGCTCCAGTAGTGACTAATCTAACTGCCGTGACAGAATTCATCCTCCTGGGGTTTCCCACCCATGGAACAATGGGCTTCTTGCACCCGCTGCTCTTCTCCCTGGTCTACCTGTGTGCCCTGCTGGGGAACGGGCTCATCGTTATCATCACGACCCTGGACCGGCACCTCCACACCCCCATGTACTTCTTCCTGAGGAGTCTGTCCTTCACGGATCACTGCCTCATCTCAACCACGTTCCCCAAGTCCATTGCCAGCTCTCTGACGCATAGCAGCTCCATCTCATTCCCGGGCTGTGTTGTCCAGGTCTTCATGATGGTTATTTCTGCAACTACAGAGTTTTATCTACTCAAAGCAATGAACCTTGACCGCTATGCTGCCATCTGCCACCCCCTGCACTATGACATCATCATGAGCAGGGACAGGTGTGTTCAGATGACAGCTGTGTCCTGGCTGGGTGGGGTAATATTGGCTGTGATGCACACAGCTGGAACCTTCTCTTTGTCCTACTGTGGGTCCAACGTGGTCCACCAGTTCTTCTGTGACATCCCCCAGTTATTGGCTATTTCCTGCTCAGGAAATTCAGTGAGTGAAATTGTCCCTATTCTCACTAGTGTGACTTTAGATATGTGCTGTTTTACTTTCATCATCATTTCCTATGTCCACATCTTCTCTGCTGTCAGGAAGATCCCATCCACAGAAGGTAAGTCCAAGGCCTACTCTACCTGCCTTCCCCACCTGCTGGTTGTGGTGCTGTTTCTCTCCACTGGATTATTTGTTTATCTGAAGCCGATTTCTGACACACTATCTATGTCTGACCTGGTCATTTCTATGTTTTACACGGTGGTGCCCCCGACCTTTAATCCCATCATATACAGTCTGAGGAACCAAGCCGTGAAGATGGCTTTGGGGAGACTGATCAAGGGTCAATTTTCCATCACATGAGATATCACATTGTACAATTATACACTCCGTCATTCATACAGATTCTCCCTCTAACTTTCATATGCCATCATTATAATGCAATGATGCCTGTCATTAGGTTTTAATCCTTTGGCAGAAATTTATTCTCATATTCTTACATAAGCTGTAGTTTCCAAAAATGTTGCAATCCTTTGCCAAACTCCTCCCTGTGTGATGTTCATAAACTGAACCCAGCTCAGGACTAAAAACATGTATATGCTGTAGAAAGAATATGCTGGAGCTCACACATCACCAGCATTTACATGAAATGAAACAGTGGTAAAGGGGGGGTCTCTCCTGGGGAGCATATGAACAAGGGACCCCAGTTCTGGGCAACAGTTCCCTCAGTCTGTGTGTGTCCACTGAGGGCCCTGTCCTTGTGGAGGGGAGAGACAGCTGAGTGGGGCCCCTACCCCTCCCTATTCTTAATGGGGCATCTTCCTCTAAGAGACTTTCATGTTTCTACTCAAAAGAAAAAGAGAAACTGCAGTGAAGGAAGGATGGGGGAAGAGGCGAGAGGCCCACAGCAGAGAGAAACCTTCTGTCCACGCCCTGGGGACAACCTCAGGAGAGACACAACACATGGCGATGGGAATTTTCCTTCCAGACTACAGGTATTTGCAGTGGAGAACCCACTCACATTTGAAAAATTTTAGATGACAAGCTTCATTTTTAGACTTGAGAAAGTGTCGTGAGCGCAAATAAATAGGATCACAAATGAGAGAGGAGAAATCCCACAACAGACACAGCAGAAATCAAAAGAATAATCAGAAACTACTATGAACAGTTATATACAAAGTTCAACAATCTAGAAGATATGGACAAATTCCTACAACTCTACAATCACCCAAAGCTAGATAAAGAAGAAATGGAACACCTAAACAGACCAATTACAAGCAGCAAAATTGAAATGGTAATCAAAAACCTTCCCAAAAACAAAAGCAAAGGACCTGAATGTTCTATCAAACATTCAGAAAATAATTAGTGCCTATACTTCACAAACTCTTGCAAAAAATTGAGAAGGAAGGGATAATACCAAACATGTTCTATGAAGCCAACATTACAGTAATACCAAAACCGAGCAAGGACAACACAAAAAAAAAAAAAAAAAAGAAAACTAGAGGCCAATCTCTCTAATCAACACGGATACAAAAATCCTCAATAAAATTTTAGCTATCAGAATCCAACAATGTATCCATAAGATAAATCACCATGACCAAGTAGGACTCATTCCAGGGACACAAGGATAGTTCAACATCTGAAAATCAATGTAAACCAACACATCAACAAGAAGAAATATAAAAACCATATGATAATATCCATAGATTCTGAGAAAGCTTTTGACAAAGTACAACACCCATTCATGATAAAAGCCCTTGAAATTCTTGGGTTACAAGGAACATACCTCAACATCATAAAGGCCATATATGACAAGCCAACAGCCAGTATCATTCTCAATGGCAAAAAGCTGAAAGCATTTCCATTAAGATCTGGAACAAGACAAGGATGTCCACTCTCACCACTGCTTTTCAATATAATACTGAAAGTCCTAGACAAAGCAATAAGACAAGAGAAAGACATACAAGGAATCCAAATAGGAAAAGAAGAAGTTAAACTATCACTATTTGCAGATGATATGATAATATACATAGAGAACCCCAAAAACTCCACAGAAAAACTAATTCAACTAATCAATCAGTTTAGTAAAGTGATGATAAGATACAAAATCAACATGCAAAAATCAGTAGCCTTCCTATACACAAATGATAAATCTGAAAAAGAAGAAATAAAAAAAATCCCTTTTATTATTGAAACAAAAAAATATCAGGAAATAAATCTAACAAAAGAGGTAAAGGACCTATACAAAGAAAACTATAAAACACTGTTAAAACACTGTTAAAAGAAATAGAAGAAGACACAAATGTTCAACATCACTTGTAATCAGGGAAATGCAAATCAAAACTACAATGAGATACCATCTTACACCAGTGAGAATGGCACATATTAAAAAAAACTAGCAACAACAAATGTTGGCAAGGATGTGAAGAAAAAGGAACTCTCCTGCACTGCTGGTGGGAGTGAAAACTGGTCCATCCACTATGGAGAGCTTTGTGGAGATTTCTTGACCTATTAAACATAGAGCTTCCATATGATCCAGCAATTCCACTCCTAGGTATTTACCCAAAGGACACAGAAACATCAATTCCAAAGGGCACCTGCACCCCTATGTTTATAGCAGCACTGTTTACAATAGCTAAGCTATGGAAACAACCCAATGCCCAAAAATAGATGACTGGATCAAGAAAATGCCTTACATATACACAACGGAATATTACCCAGCAATCAAAAAAAGATAAACACATGCAGTTTGCAGCAACATGGATGGAGCTAGAAGGGATCATGCTCAGCAAAATAAGTCAAAAAGAAAAAGAAAAATACCGGATGGTCTCACTCATAGCAGGAATTTAGACAACCTAAATAAGGGACCAGGAAAAAAACTAATACAAAATCAAAATCAAAATCAAGAAGCAACTATAAACCAGAGATGTACTGTGGGGGGAGGGGGGGAGGAAGGACTAGGGTCAAAATAAGGGGGGGGTGCAATTGTATGGGGAATATAACAAAAATGAAAATGCATACATTGTGCAAAAATGAAAAATGATGTAAGAATTATATAATATAAAATATTAAAAAAGAACCCTCACTAAAATAAGAATCAATGATAAAAAATAAAATAGAAATAATACAAACTAATAAATTCTAAATGAGCACAAGTTGCTCAATGTTCCACTGCCATATGAGCCTGGGGTGAGACTCAATGAGAGAAAACATATTCTCTTTTAATTTAAGATGCTCAAAGATACTGACTTTTAATACATTGATCATATTAGAAGATTTTGATTTAGAAATGTGACGATTTTTGCTTCATACCTGGAATTTTAGCATTCAGGACACTGAGTACGTTTTCATATCGAACAAAATCACAGCAATTAATGGGATTAGATTGCAATGAAGAAAATCCAGAGGAGGTGCAGCAGACCTCTCCTGTCTCCCCACTGCTCAATCTGCTTGTTCTGCTCCCCAGTCTGTGTCTGGTGAATCCTCTCACCCCCGCACCTCTGGTCTCCACCCCAGCTCTTACATGCATAAAAATTAAAAAAAAAAAAAAGAAAATCCAGAGTAAATTAAAAATACTTATTTTTTGAAACTGAGAATGTTATGCCTTGTCGTCCTAAATAGTATGACAGATATGAGTCAAGTAGAAAATCAATAACTCTTACAGCAACATGTTGACTGCTTCATGGCTCTGACACGAACGTGAGGCTGGCAGGGACGTGTGACTATTTATGGACCTGAACTTGGGATGTTTTGCCAATTCCATCACTCAGGGATTGTTAGTGATTTTCTAAAATAAAGTCACAGTATTTAAACAGGGTCAGGAGGGGATTTATGTCACAAATTATTTCACCATTTTAAATTTGTATACAAATCACTAAACAGATGTCAAAATTCTTGACCAACATGTATCCTGATTTATTTCCTTGTTTTCATTACATTTCTTGGCATTATTCCCAGCAATATGCTGCAAATATTTTATATTACTATATTCTCCCAAAATTCCTGCTTTAAGTGGAATGGGATAAGGAGCAGAGTGGGCAGGGCTGCCCCATATCCAGACGTCCCACATATTCGTGGGCCTGGGGTGAGGACCAAATCCGTACATGGGGGACCCGAGTCCCTGGGACCAGCAGGGACAGCCACATGCACAGACCGTCTGGCTCAGCCCCCGAGCAGCCGCCTCCCTGCACAGATGTGCATGAGTCTGAGGGGGACGGAGGGGCCGGGGAGGGACCAGGGGGTGGACGAGCTTCTCCTGCAGCAGGGACAGCGGCTATGACCATGGGAAGTAGCTGCAGGAGAATCCACCTCAGCTCCTCGGGTGAGGGGAGGGCCAGGACAAAGACCAGGAGGGCAAGAAAAGGAGGTCACCCTCTCAGTGCATACGACTCAGGGGCAAGGGGTACTCAGAGTCACACAGTGACATGGGGTGGGGACAACCCACCCACTGCTGTGATGAGGGACATGGGCGCCGACCAGGAACAGTCTCGGGGCCTTCAGTGTCCACTTGGTCCCAAAATGTGCACCTGGAGCTGCCCTGGCCAGTGTTTTGCGAAGACTGGGAAATGAGACCCCACAGGCTAATTTGAGGCCATTCATATTCCTGAGGCTGGCAGGGGTGACCCTCTGTTGAGATTTTTGCTGACTGGGGCCTGGGGACGGCAGTGAAGGGGCCAGGGTCAGGGTTTCAGGGGTGCCATGCACGAGAGATGGTGAGATGGGAGGAGACTGCTCAGGGAGCTGAGGTCAGTTGAACTTTCTGACCTGCTATTCCCACAGGTGGTGTGGACAGTGGCGGTACCTGCGCGTCGCTGAAGCTGTAGGGGCCGAGCAGAGCAGGAACTGAGATTCCTGTGGGGGGACGCTGGACAGAGAGCAGAGAGCGGTCAGTGGGAAAGGACAGCCCTGGTCACCTGCAGAGAGACACTCTGGGTCCATCAATTGTGGACAATCCTGGCGTTTTATTCCTCTAGACTTTCATGCAGTGATGGATCCAGGAGGGATGAATTGCACCATCGTGACAGAATTCATCCTCCTGGGGTTCCCCAGCCCAGGGGACCATGGGCTTCTTGCACCCAGTGCTCTTCTCCCTGGTCTACCTGTGTGTCCTGCTGGGGAACCGGCTCAACGTCCTCATCACGACCCTGGACCGGCACATCCACACCCCCATGTACTTCTTCCTGAGGAGTCTGTCCTTCACGGATCTCTGCCTCCTCTCAGCCACGGTCCCCAAGTCCATTGTCAACTCTCTGAGGAACAGCAGCTCCATCTCGTTCCCGGGCTGTGTCCTCCAGGTCTTTTTGCTGGTTATGTCAGCAGGTGCAGAGATGACCCTCCTCACCACGGTGATGAGCCTTTACCGCTATGATGCCATCTGCCACCCCCTGCACTATGACATCATCATGAGCAGGGACAGGTGTGTGCAGCTGACAGCTGTGTCCTGGCTGGGTGGGGGTATATTGGCTGTGATGCACACAGCTGGAACCTTCTTCTTATCCTACTGTGGGTCCAACATGGTCTACCAGTTCTTCTGTGAAATCCCACAACTTTTGGCTGTTTCCTGCTCTGGAAAGTTAATGAACAAACTTGTCCCCATTCTCATTAGTGTGGTGATGGATTCCTGCTGTTTTACTTTCATCATTATTTCCTATGTCCACATCTTCTCTGCTGTCAGTAAGATCCCATCCACAGAACGTAAGGCCAAAGTCTACTCCACCTGCCTTCCCCACCTGCTGGTTGTGGTCCTGTTTCTCTTCACCAGATTCTTTGCTTCTGGCTGTACCCAGTGCTTGCATAAATAAATAAATAAATCTTTAAAAATATATATTTCCTAAAATAATGCAGTCATTTTTCAAAACTCATTTCTGTGTGACA